TACACAGGCCGGTCGGCTGTATATTGATGAGCCGAAATAAAAAGTCATTGAGTTGGCGTCTGTTTTCTTCCTTTCATTTTGTTTTACTTTCATAAATTTAGAGGAAAATTCATCTTCCTTTTTTTTAATGAAACCTCGAATTTGTGGTTAAAAATAATTTAAGCAAAAAGAAGGAAATGAAAATTGCAAACATTGCGGAAATATTGGTAGTTCAAGCTGTGTGTGTGCGTGCGTGTGTGCGTGCGTGTGTGTGTGTGTGCGTGCGTGCGTGCGTGCGTGCGTGCGTGTGTGCGTGCGTGCGCGCGTGCGTGCGTACGTTGTGTTGTGTTGTGTGTCAGAATAGTTTGAAAAATAAAAATTGCATGAATTAATTAATGTTAACATTGTTAAAAACTTTGAAGCCATGTTATTCTTTTAATTCGTTGCTATTAAGATTAACGTTCATTGCTATTAAGATGTGATTATAGGTTCATTGCTATTAAGATGTGATAGATGTAAGGATTGTGGTTCAACATTGAACTTAATTTTCTGAGAATGTAGAATAAACTGGCAAGGTATCTGGCACATATCTGCCAAAATTTATGAACTATATTCCGCGCTAGATTCGATTTCTGAATATATCTTTTTATAGCAGTATTACTCTAAAAAATGTCCTATTGGTAGAGTTTAATCTGCTTAATTAAAACTATGCCGTGATTAAACTGTCAAGACGTGTTACGACTCAGTGGTTGTAAACACTGAGAGGTAGAATGGGTTTCGATCCTCAATGGTGGCATGAAGCTCATTCAACTTCAGATTCATGGGAACCAGCTTATCTTGGAAATAAGAGCAGCTTATGTACACAACTATGCCATTGATCACTAAAGTGTTGTGCCCTTGCCCCCACGATTTTTCTGGTTCATAGAGGAAAAGCTTTGGATTCATTTTGTTATTGTTAAACTGTTAAGTGAAAGGTCAATGATACCTGTTATAACATAATTACCTGTTATTTACCACACATTTATTTACTCTTTTTCTTTTTATGTGTGGAGATTATTATTCAAGTGTGGAGAGAGGGTAATATGCAAGTAAGCCTCAGTTTTTCTTCCTCTTTCAGAAACCAATTTTAAGTGAAATAGAATATTAAAAAAATATAAATGCAACGTTCTTTACGATTAATTGTCGCAAAAGTATACATTTTTGAAAATAATTAATTTAAAACAATGCCGAAATCTTTTTAAAATTCAATACTAAATTTAAAAATTAGCTGAAACTATCACTGCATTTTTAACTTTTCAAAAAAAAGAAAAAAAGAAATTATTAAATAATTTGTATTAATATTTTGAATTCTTTTCTATATGATTAAATAAAGGCTATTATGTCAGTTTTCATCCTTTAAATAGGAAACAAAATTTATATTTTGTTTGTTACGCAATGGGGAACATTGCTAATTTCAATATAGAAATATTTAGATCTACGTAGCAGCAAATAATTTCTTGATGCACAGGGTACAAAACAAAACGAATACCTCAGTATCTTTTGATTAATTAATTAGATTGTCATGCTCTAAACTCTCTATCCATATGGTTTGAATGATCATCTCAAATTTGCTAAATAATTCTTGACCTTCAAAATATAGAGGATAGCCATTATCTCGAAATTATGGGTACAGTAGTTCGGGCCGGAAACATCCAAAAATTTGTTTCTCTAATATATATATATATATATATAGCTATNAACTTTATATATATATATATATATAGTATATTACTCGTGAGTACTAATTTTGATATATTTCCAGGAAAAGAAATTTAAGGAAATGTTTTAAGTTGAAAAAAAAGGCTGTAAAATTTTTCCAACTTGGTTAAATGCTTGTTTAACTATGCAAATTTGAAGCAAAACATTATTTTTCAATTTATGAATCAATCAAGAAATGATTAAAATGCGTAAAACATAAGGAAATCTCATTTATTTATGTAAGAGTCATTAACATATTTATTTACTTGTCATATTAGTTTAAAATTTTACATTAAAATGAATTTAACGGATGATGCACCCAGTTTGAGGGTAATTTTTATAAGAATTTATAATGTAGATTTTTTGTTGAAATGTTTTTTTGCAAAAGTTTTTAATTGGCAGAAAATCTATTTGAATTTCATAGCATTCTTCAGCTTACTAGGAAATCAAAGCTAATATTAAAAATTTGTTCCAGTATATGCATTAAAGTGGCCATTTATAAATTTTATGATTTCTTAACTTTTGAATCATTGAGCATATCATTCGAGATGCAAAATGATCAGCCATAATAATTTAGTATATTTCATTATTATGTATTCATACTGTTTACGTATTTCTCTTTTTGCTAAATAAGTGTCCTGTAAGTTATGTTAATCGTACGTGATTATTTACTTGTTAAATAATCAAAAGTTTAGAAAAATACGTTTTTTGCATGATGCAATATACTGGATACCCAAATAAGTGGGTATCCACATTCTTCCGAAAGAGATGTCTAGGTATAGTAAATTGGCTATGCGTAACTTAAGGAATTCTTTTCGATGTCGCTTGGGGGAAATAAAGCATAGGAATTACTAGATTAAAAACAATACAATAAAGGAAAAGAAAAGTAAAATACCGAATTGTAGAGCGTCTTTGGTTCAATACAACAGACAATGAGCCACAGTGGCTCAGGAGCTAGCTTCTGAATGAGATGCTTCGGGTTCGAATCCAGCGATGGTTGATCGATGCGTTCCCAGCTCAAACTTTCCTTGAAGCTGACGCAAATTATCCTCTGTAGTAGACCAATCATGGAATAAAATCCCCTTTCTTTTAGCTTTACCTTGAGAGATTTTTGCGGTTTTCCTTACCAGGTAACGCAAATGCGAGTAAGTTCCTTCAAAAGGTCCTCCACAATGGCTAATTTGTCTTGGCCTGTTTTATTTGTGAGATTCAAAATTATAAAACTTCTGTCACGAACACTGATAGTAGTAAACTTTAAATTGAGCTGTTCAATGCTAGCTGTAAGAAAAAATAAAATATGGACATTTACTCTACTTTCTTTTCCCTCAGTGTAGGTAGGAATACAATTTCACACATTTATTATATGCCCTAATAACATTTTTCATTAATACTTTTGAAGATAAGAAAAGAAAAATAGTTATTAATGTCAAGTAAACTGGCATAAGTTTCGCCATCAAAATAACCGCATTGGTCATTATAATATAAAGCCAAATAAAGTCAGTTAACAAAAGTCTCGATTTTTCACGTTACGTTTTAGAAATGTATTACTTCAAAAATTCAAATATTTTGATTATCTGATTTACATTTAATTCCGAACAATTTGGATACTCGAGGTTCCACTTTATAGTTAAACTATTTATTGACTTTTTAACAAGATATCTATACAAATTATTTTCGGAAAAATATCTTAACATTCATGTTTACCATTCCATTAATGTATGTTTATAATATAGAGTTACATGTATGAATCGCAGGTGTAAGAGCAAATTATTGTGCAATTTTGCAGCGTAGTTTTGGCTAAAAATATTGGTCTAGTCTCAATATATTGGTAAAGATAATGAACTTTAAAAACGGAGAAAATAACAATTTAATTTTTGTGCCATCTCTAGACACAAATAATTCCTTTTTATCAAAAATTGTTAATATTTATGAGGAATTGATAAAAAAAATTTCTTTTATAATCATATATGCATGCATCGATCTTTACGTTGTTTTTTTTTTTCTAAAAAAATACATGCATTTATTTTTTAATCTATGTACAGAAGAGGGATAAAATAGATGTTATTTAAAGTCATCTATGCCAGTAAAAAGATTTATATGAGGTCAATTAAATTATAAATCAATAATGTCTCATATTTTAAAAAAAATAATTATACAAAAAAGGAAAACAATCTCGAAGTTCTGAAACATTTAATTCAACTTACAAGGGAAACTAGGGAAGTGTGACTCGCCAATTTTGAAATAAACTAGATGAGGAATAATTTTAGGGGGCAACATTCGTTTCGGCCCATAGAGGGTCCTATGACAGATAAAAAATAATTAAGTATGTAGAAAAATCGGTATTTCATTACTTCACTGCAGACTATTAGTTATTGTAATTATCTCATACTCCAATTAATTTTGTGCTACTTTTTGTCAAAATTGATTTCGAAAATTTTATATATCTGTAGTTTTTCAGAAAAAAAAACAAAAAAATTGGCATTTTTTAAAAAAAAAATTTTGGCATCCAAGTTTTTAAATTTTTTTTTTCCAAAAAATTTTCCAATATTAAAACTAGTAAACAGTAATAAATTTCATTTATATGAGAGTCGAAATATAATTCGCATTTTCCCAAACTGATGGAATTTTTTCATATTTAATGTGTATCCAAAAATGTGATTTATAAAAAAAAAAAATTTTTTTTTTCATATTGTTAGATCTTGCAAAAAAATCTGAAATAATTTATGTGATTGCATAAAATTAAATTGCATTTATAAAAATGTTTTCAAATTTGCTTGGCGGGAAATTTGAACTTAAAAAAATATTTCAGTTTTCAACGATTTTCTTTTTTTCTTGAAAGGTCAACCGTACTATATAAACAAAATTTGTAAGTATTTGTCGCTTTAATAGACACATTTTTTTTTTCTTAATTATTTTCTTGCACAACTGGTAAAAAAATGTAGAAAAAAAAAGTTTCAAAAAAAAAGTTTTTGCCAAAAAATTAAAATATTATTTAAAAATATTGTCCTGGGAATTGTTCAATATTTTGTCAAAACATTGCTATTTTTGAAATATTATTCATTAAATTATCTTTATACCTGATATCCTAGCTAATGCCAACTTTTAAAGTTAAATATTTCAAAAATTAGCTAGGATATCAGATATAAAAATAATATTATAAAGATAGCAATGTTTTGACAAAATATTGAACAATTCACAGGACATAGATATCAACGGATTTNAATAATTATACAAGAAAGGAAAACAATCTCGAAGTTCTGAAACATTTAATTCAACTTAGACGCTTTTTCAATTCGTAAAATAAAATTTTCTTGAAGTATAAGTATAAAACGCTAAACAAAATTTCCAAACAAAAGTCACTCTTTGTGAATATAACTCGTTTTTCTTTCCTTTTTTTTATTTAAAACTATTATTTTACCTTAAAAATACATTATAACAGGTTATTATTTTAGCTGCAATATTAAATTAAATCCTCTACAAAAAAATATTTCACTGCAGCTAAAGATAATTTATAAATGATTCATATTCTGTCTTTGATGAAAAAAGAGATTGTAATTAAGTTTCGAGTTATATAACACCATATATATTTTTTCAGGAGGTTAATGATGCTCATAATTCTATGTACATATATATTTAGCACAGAAAATTTAATCATACAGGTAATTCAATCATACACATAACGATAAAACACATTTAAAGAAAATTCTAATATTACAAAAAGTTCATAAATGATGTTGAACATAGTACAGCATAACAGTACATAACATACAATACGTAAAAATCAAAGTTAAAATGTGGAAATACTAAATCTTATAACTTTTTAATAGTGTTAACAAATATATATATATTTGTTTATAGAATTGCAGACTACATTACTAAATTCAATTGCTTCAATAGTTGTTTATGTCCATTGGCTAAGCAAACTTGAAGCAAAGTAAATTTCTGTTCATTTCTAGCCTTTGAGACTGCTATTTTCTCCTCAAAACCAAGAATCTTTAACTTGGACATTATTCTGTTGTCTCCAATTGAAACACACATGAAAAGTTCATCAATGAGCTGTAGAAAGTCAGAAATTTCCTTTAAGGTTGTGTAATCCTTTGGTGTTTTACAGTCTTTATTTTGTATGTTATAGATTGCTCCATACTTAAGCAAAGTAATGGCGGTTTCAAAATTTGCTGCTGCATGCAGTGCCGAGTTACCACAGTTTTTTGTTTTGGCATTTATAAATGTCGACAAATGATGTACGTTTTCACCTTTAACATGCATGAGCAATAACTCGGCAATTTCAGCATGTCCTTTAGACGATGCAATGTGCAAAGCCGTATTTCCTTTAATAGTTGCTTGCATAGCATCACATTTCTTCTGTAATAAAATTTTAACCACAGATATATTGCCTCTATGTACAGCAAAATGTAGAAGAGTTCTACCTTCGGAAATAGTGCTTCTGAGGTGACGCAGCTCTAACTCTTCTACTGTTGGAACATGGGCATTAGTTTTCTTTAAATCTCCTGATCTCCATAAATTTAAATCATCCAAAGGATATTTCATAGCCTCTATTAGATTTTCTGATTTCAAAACTTCGGAATGTTCATTTCCCAAAACATATTTTAGATTTTCAATATTTTCTTTCAAAATTTTACTAGCTTCAAAAAATTTCCCCATATTAAACAATATCAATCCCAAACTTTGTTTTGTTCTTACTGTATCTTTATGATTTGGACCTAAGTCTTTTTCCTGAATATTTAAAATTTCTCTCAAGCCTTCCACAGATTCATTAGGTTTATTTATATAACATAATATAGAGTTTATGTTATGGAATGTTCTTAAAGTATTTGCATGAAAAGGACCATAAACTTTTTTTCTAGATTCATAAACACATTTGTAGGTGGAAAGGGCTTCGTCGTATTTACCTAATTTAGCTAAAGTTAGACCTATTTTACTTTGCGTAAATAAAGTCAGGGGATTGTCCGGACCATAAATTTCAAGGTGCTTTTCGAAAACAATATTATAGGCTTTCAAAGCCTCTTCATAGTGTTCAAGGCTGTTTAAAACTGACGCCATACCAGACAAAGTTCTTAAAGTATCAAAATCATTTAGACCAAACATTTCGCTTTGTTGTTGAAAAACATATTTAAAAATTTGAAATGCTTCGATGTTTTGACCTTGACCATGCATTGCTTGAGCTACGAAGGATTGCATTTTTAAAGAATCAGCATTAAACTCTTTCTCATTTCTTATAAATTTCGTACAGGCACGAAGTAATTTTTCATAGTCTTGGCTTGACAATGATGTTGATTTTCTACTTTCAAAGATATCAGGAATATCTGTACCAAGGTTCTGGGATGTTTTCTTCTGAAAATCGTTTAGATTGGTTAGAGCGTATTTTGGCTTGTTAAGTATCTGAATAATTTTATGTCTAGCAATTTCAAAATCCTTGTCAATTATACTCTCGAGGTGTTTCAGTTTGGGAAAGTCATTTTTTACTGCACAAGTCATTAGAGTTTTTTCTTCGTTGTTTTTTGCAAATGCTATAGATTTTAAAAATTCAGAATTTTCAACTTTTTCTAGAGTACTTAAAATATTAATATTACAATTTTGTACATTTTTGAAAACAATGTCAATGAATTTTAATAAGTCGTTAATATATTTGCTTGAAGCTAAATCTAGAGGAGTCTTTCTGTCAGTGGACATGGCATTATAAATAGCCCCATTTTCTAACAGAAGTTTTGCTGCCTCATATTTTCCATACTTGGACGCGATGTGAAGCGGTGTGACATTTTGTCCTCCAAATGCGTTAGGATTTGCCTTGTATTCCAGTAGTAATTGAATAATTTCCGTATTACCCTCCCCTACAGCATAATGCAGAAGCGTTGCATGATCTGAATCCATGGCATGGATACAGGCTCCTTTATCAATAAGCAATTTTACATTAGAAACGTTGTTACTCTTAACTGAGTGAAAAATTTCTTTAATCATCAGTAGAAACTTTTTAATATTTGCACTATCAGTAAGTAATAATGGAGTTCTATGAAAGATATCATGAAAGCAGTCATAAATTGCACCGTTGCTGAGCAGTACCCTGAGGACTTCCTCGAAACCAAACATGGCAGCTAAATGAATGGGTCGGGCTCCATTATCACCAGATTCGTTTATATTAATTCCTTTTTTAATGAAATATTTAACGACATCTGTTTGACCAGCTTGAGCCGCATAATGAAGAACATTCATATTAGCACATCCACGTTCCCTTAATAAAGTTTTATCGCATTGAATAAAATATTCAACAATATGTAAATGTCCCTCTCGTGCTGCTAAGTGTATGGGTTTTGAGTTGAAACTGTTAACTGCACGTAATGAGGCATTTTCGCTTATTAGAAATTTGACTATGTCTAGGTGGCCATACTCAGCAGCAATATGTAACAAAGTATAATCACCATTCAATTTTGCATTTACGTTTGTAGTTTTCTTCTGGAAAATTATTTTTACGAGATCCAAACGATCATACCATACAGCCCACTCTATAGGTCTTCGATTCTCTGAATCCAGCTTATTAATGTCTGCTCCTCTATCTAACAGTAATTTTGTGATTTTGGAATGGCCTCGTTTAACTGCTAGATGCAAATTTGAAGTAAAATTATTTATTAAAATATAATTAACATCAGCTCCATGATTTAAGAAAATAGTTACAATGTCCTCATAGCCACACTCAATAGCACGAAACAAAGATTCTTCTAAACTGAAATCTTCTGTTAGTGATTTATTATGCAAAATATAAGAAACCACTCGCTCCATACCATTGAATGAAGCGTATTGAAGAAACTTATCTATATCACCTTTAAACTGCTTCCCTGAATATATTTCGTTTTGTTGTAGAAGAATCAAACACATTTCTTCGTGCCCACCTTGGATAGCTTTCATGAGTGGATATCCAGCATTTACATCAGCTCCATTTTTGATTAACACACGAGCTATTTCAGTGAAATTGCACTCTGAAGCTAAGCATAAAGCAGTGTTGCCTTCAGATGTCATAGAATTTAAAGAACACTTTTCAGTCGATAACAGTAAATTAACAACTTCAAGATGATTCGTTTCAACGGCGCTATGCAAAGGTGTATATCCGTTGTCGTTAGGTATGTTAAGATCAGGCAGCTTGTTGACAAGATATTGAACAATATAAGTGTTACCCGAGAGGCAAGAAAGATGCAGCGCAGTCATACCCTTATTATCTTTCCACTGTAACCATTTCATCACACTACTACCCATCGCATTGGTAGCCATTTCTACAAGAGTTTTAAAGATTGTAAACATATTTGAGTTAGATGCGAACATATCATAATTCACTACATTAACTATCATACCCAACTGTTTAAAAAATATAGCAATATATTTTGTGGTTAAAGCACAACAATGTAACAATGTGTACCCATTTTCAGTACTTAGAGAAAAAGCCTTCCTGCTTAATAAAAGAGTACTAGCTATATCGTAATTTCCACCAAGTATTGCGAGTCTCAAAGGAGTAAAACCTTTCAGATCTACGGCAGTTACATCTGCTCCATGTTCAATTAATCGCTTCGAGATATCATTTGTAACGTATTTTATACTTAAATGAAGAGGAGTGCAGCCCTCAGGATCCCTTTGATTAATAGGAACTCCATTTTCAATCAAATAATTAATTACGTCTAAATTTCTATTTAAAATAGCATACTTATATGCAGAATCACCACATATCTCAATATCTTCCAGTCTTGCCCCGTTTGTGATCAAGATTTCAAAAATCCTCATGTGTTTTTCTCTAAAGGCATAATGCAAAGGTAAACATTTTTGGCTACTCATAGCATTTATATTAGCACCATTTTCAAGTAAGTATTCAACAATAGACTGGTGTCCGCTCTCAACAGCGATGTGTAGAGGAGTTAAGCCCTCTTTTGCTCTTGCACTTACGCTTGCTCCCCGTGAAATTAATATCTTAACAACTTCTAGGTGACCAAAAAAAGAAGAGAGATGCAATGGAGTGGTTAAATGTTCCGTCGTTTCAGAATTAGCATCAGCTCCCTCATCGAGTAAGTAAACAACCATATCCAAGAAACCAAATTCAGCGGCAATATGTAATAACGTAAATCCATTCTCGTCCCGGATTGAATTAATATTTTTGTTGTTACATAAAAACAATTCAGCTATTTCCATTCTATTATTTATTACAGCTTTTTGTAGTGCCGTCTGATTAGCGACATCTACAACATCAGTTTTAGCTCTGTGGTGCAGCAACGTCTCAACAACATCGAAACAACCATTCTCTGCCGCAACGTGGAGAGGTGATTGCTTGCGCTCGCACTTTTCATCTACCGATATTTTTAGCTCTTCTAAAATGTATTCAACTATACACTTGCTTCCAAAAGCTGCAGATACATGGAGAATATTTCTTTTATGAAAATCTTTGGCCTTTGGATTCAATCCCCGATCAATCAAGAACTTAAGAATGTCAATGTTGGAAGATTTTGCTGCGAAGTGTAAAGCTGTCATCAAATTGCTGTTCCGTCCATAAATATCAGCTCCTTGTCTTATCCAATGCTTCACTTCATCTAAGGAATTGCCAGACAACGCACGAAATAATCGCTCCTGATTTTCTACAGTATACCTTGCATTTGATTTATTTCTCACACGCTTGATTGTGATATTTCCTTTGCGATATATATCATGTTTTATAATTTTCATAGCAAATAGGAATATCAATTGAGTTGAATCCATTAAAATGTCTACTAAAGGATTTCCATGAGCTAGATAATTCCTGAGATATCTACCAACTAATAATGGGTTATCGACTTCGTTGTATTGCTGACTAGTTATTAAGTAATAATTAGAATGCTCCAAACTAGACAAAATTGATAAAATAAGCATTTCAATTTCTGCTTGCATTTTTAAATTATTTTTATAGATGAAAAATGATTCGATGTTATTTTCAGACAAATTATTCTCTTCCACAAGTCTTTTTATAGCTGTAATATCATTCAATAAGATTTCTTGATAACTTAATGTTTGTATCAGTTTTCTGTTCTTAATAGTCTTAAAGGTTATTTTTTCAGTTTTCTGAAAAAATTTTCTGAATTCATGTAGATTTTTTATTTCATGATTTCGACGCACAGTCATGTAAATAATTCTGGAAATCAAAGATAAGGCATGTGAATTTATTCTTCCTTTTCCGATACTGCGGTAAATTTCGCTTATTAATGAATTAATGTTTTCTAATCCTTCTGAATTGTATAAAGGATTTATGATGTCTAACCTACACTTTATTCTACACTTCGTTGAAAAAATGTCGTGACTGCTCATTTCATACTCAGGAGTAAAATTTGAATTTAGCATATTAAGATGTTTCTGAAATTCGGTTTCGGATATTTCTAAAAATTGCTTCTCAAAACTGATAATTTCTGCTATTTTTGAAAACAGACTTTTTTCAAAATGCGTTTTTTTCCTCATTATTTTATCCAAATCAGATACCAGTTTTTCGACTTCAATCACGGCATTATTTCTTGGAAAAAACTGGGATACATCATTCTTGCAACATATCAATCTTATCATATGAAAAGTGTCTTTCAACACGTCAATGTCTTCGCAATCACAAATTTTTTTCAACAAAGTTCTGAAAATCTCAAATTTTATTTTCTGAAATGCTGAAGTGATTCCAACGTTTAAACTTTTCAGATCATTCTGAACTCGAACGTAGAATTCAGAACCATACATTTCTTCTATTTCGTGACAGATTGCCAAAGGAAAACCATGCGAGAACGAGTTTCGCAAAGCTTTTATAATTCTAACAGTTTCCTTAGGTAAAAATGACATCAAATAATCACTTGTTCCAGAAGACAATTTAGGCGATTCCAATGTATTTTTAAAATTTTCTCCCATCACTTGCAATGCCCTGACTATAACAGTTTTCCCGCTCTTTTCTACAGTATTCACCTCTGTCACTGCATCAACGCATTTCTTAATAATGCTAAGGGATTCATAATCACGAATGAATTCATAATTTTGGTAAAATTCTTCAAAGTGGGAATATTTATGGGTAATGCTGTTAATCATATCACCACGTGTTTTGTTAGGAAATGTCGATAAATTTTTTATGTCTGTAAACTTGATATCTTTAGTTTCGTTCTCTAAACACTCAGAAAAGGTCGCCAGGTACTTGAGAAAATCAGTCTCCGTTACGCAGCAATTAATGTAACATCCTTGATTGTTCAGATACCGGATGTGCGAGATTAGGTGAAATTCCATTTCTTCCCAAGGAATCCGGTCATACGTAGATTTCAGCCATTTTTTCAAAGTGAATATATTTCGCGCGATCCCTTTCCCTAAAACAATCAGCAGGTCTTTCGATTTGCTGTTTGCGTACTTTGTTTCATACAAGTCACTGTACTCCAAAATAAGTGATAAACTCTCTTGGATGTCATTATGTGAATAATCACTAGACTCAGATGGTGGATTTTCCTCGAAGTAGTAGTCAAGTAAAAAACTGTGTATGAATATTTGAATTTCAATTGATATATCCACGTTTTTCAGCATTAACTCATTTAAACTTTCCGATAGGAGTGAGCACAATTCTTCTTTCCGAGAAGAAAAATAATTCATTGGCCACTTCTTCATTAGAACTTCCAGAAGTTGCGTATTCCCTGAGCGCACAGAATAATAGAAGGCATTGTGGCCTTCCTCATCCTGATCGGTTGGCAATGGAAAAGTTGCCCCTACTTTAGTCGAGAGATCACTGATAGTCGACGAATTATCACTGAATATGTTGTTCAATAATTCTAAACGATTGTGTTTACAAGCCATTATCACCACATTAGATTTTTTAAATGGATTGTCGTTGTAACTAAAGTACGAAAATAAATGGGTAGAAATGTTAACATTGGTTATTAATGCCAAGATGCGACATAACTCTTCAAAGTTCACTTCATCGTTGAATTCTATGGCGTTTTTTATTGATTTTAAAACATTTATGTAAATACAGCGTTGATTTGATCCATTGAACTGCAGAATTTGGTTGATTGCTGAAATCTCTGATTTCTTTAGTAATTCTAATAGCCCTTGCACTTGAGTATCAATCTCCAGGCTTCTTGCATCCATCGTAGAAGCTCAAGCTATTAAAGAAGAGAAAAAATAATCTAGAAAAATGATTTAAACATTTAAATCCCCTGTTTGGAATGAAATCGAAATTAAAAGAACAATTTGAATGGTATTTAATGTGTCTTTTGATGTTTTTTTTTTGTTTTAAAAACTTATGAAAGAAGAAATCTTTGAAATTCTTTAACCCTTTATCTACTGCATTACGAACTACTGAAATTTTTTTCATAAATATATTTTTTTTAGCTGTCATATTGATAATTAAGAAACATACATGAAAAAAAATTCAATTAAGAATTAATTAAAGTGTTACTTAAAAATACCACTTTAATTAAATAGTTTAAAGTGATTGGTACTTTTAAGTACCGTCAGTAGATAAAGGGTTAAAAGTTAAAAGTTATATATATATATATATATATATATATATATACTATGCGATTTTAATTTTTNCCCATATATTTAGGAACTTCAATCAATTTCACTAGAATCCAAGAAATTTTCACCTCAGTATTTTGTAGTTATAAATGTTAATGTATTGTTGCAATATTAATGTAATTTATACGCTTAAAAATTCTTGACGTAATCATGCATACTTGAATTACATTGACCAACAGACACATCTTGACAATAATCACATACTTGAAAATTCTTATATGCACATGCATTATGTACGTTTTTAAATATTTCATTAGTGTATGAAAAATTAAATGCAAATTAAGAAATGTGGCTTAATTATCTTTTAATTCAGTAATCATTAAAGTAAACCTCTTATTATAAACCTCTTATTATAAATGTTTGCGCACAAACTACCTATTTTAATAATTAAAAAGGAAAACCTCTGTCAATTAATGAAAGAAGAACGATATTTTCAGTTACGGAATCAAAAACAAAGACTAATTCTTGCTAAAAGATATTGTCGCTTTTCAAGGGAATTCTGTTTCATTCCCTCAATGTATGTGTGGTTTTCCTAATTTGGAAAATATGTTATGTCGAACTATGTATTATATGTCGTTCTGTTTTATGTGTCGAAAATTTCACGTTTTAAATTTGGAAATGCATTTCAATTAAACATTGTTTGAAGTGGTCTTATTTTCTGCACAAAATTATTTTGTGTAGACTCTGTTCTCAAAATCGAAGACATATAAGTTTAGGAAGTGGTTTATATAAATAATTTTCAACAACTTCATGTGATAAAAATTATTTTAGTTAAAAACTTACAAACGCTCTATTGCATATTCTAACTTTATTTAAAACATTTAATATGAGTTTGAATAATCTAATACAATTTCTAAAAATAAAAGAATATACTTGAAATATTTCGCGTGCAACTGAAAAGAGATAATTTATGTGACCGAACATTCGTTGCTTACATTATAGTTGGATATTTAATTGATTATTCAATTTTTGTTCAAAAATTAATTAATTATCCTATTTTCGTTGAGAAATTTATTAATTCATTCATGGCAAAAGCTAAAAGAATGTTTCGAAACATTTTTCACACATACATTATTAAAAAAATTCTATGTTTTTAGATTATTAATGCGAGATACATTTTTATTCATTACGTCTAAGCACTTACTTAATCATAAATATGTTTACCAATATGCCCAGTAATTAAATTATACTTCGTTTAGTGACTGATAAATTATAATTTTTTTTATTATTTTTATACCTAATTAGTTTTAAAACATCCTAAAATATCTGTTTGCTCTTCAATAAAGGCTACAAGGAACAGGTATCGCACTTAATTGAGCTATTAAGGGTAGTAAATTGGTAGAGGAATTTACAATTTCATTATCTTTTTGAAATGATGTTTTGAGCATAGATAATATATATATATATATATATATATATATGGGTGATTCTCACGAAATATGACAATTCACTGTCCCTTGCTATACTATAATACTAAAAGAACTTTTTTTTTAAAAAAAATTAATAAACAGCATTGCTCTTAGCATTTTAAAATGACTTTGCACTAGCATTGACTGTTTTGTATAGTTAAAAAAATTAATTGAACTTCAAAATGTCATTTTCCTGCCATGTCCCAAACAATGTCTCCTATAGTAACTAGCTTCGAAACTTCCCATAAATTTTTCAATATCTAATTTTTTTTTTATCTCAGCCGGTATAAGCATTTCTAGAATATACGCAGAGGCTATTATGTACAAAAAATTCGTTTAAAATAATTTTTTCTGTCAATAATTTGTTTGTCCCAAGAAGATCAGTCATTTTCCTGGCTACTTTTATTTAGAGGTTTATAACCAAAATAGATGGAACCAGCAATCAATATCTTGTATTAATAGATTGATTAGATATCCTCCTATATGAACATGTCTTGTTGCGTGAATAAAGAACCAATTTTCTGGGTCAAAATCTATTTCAAAAAATTTTTCAAGATGAGTAGGTTTTTGCGTTGTCATTTTTCTGGCTTCTTGAAATCATTAATAACATAAACTGCATAGATTTATCTGAGTAATTTTAAGAAACCCTGTTGTTTTCTGCAGAATGTAAACGTCTTAGGCCAAAATATTAAATTAAAGTTACATGCCATAAAATGGCGAATTTGTCATTGTCCTGGCTGTCATTTTCCTGGCTTATGAATTCCAGGACATTGAAATGTTACCAAAAAATTTTTTAACTGTTAATACTGTACAGAGGAAAAGCAAATATTAATATAATACCAAGTTTATGTGTGATTGTAATATAGTTGGATGTAATCAAAGTTATTTATTTATTTAATGATTGATTATTATACACAATTTTATTCTGTACATATTAGCAACAAAAAAAATTTGATTAAAAGAATTGGATAAAAAGAATGGAAAGAATGGATGATGGATAAAAAGAATTAATTTAAGCAATTTATGGTCCATCAAACATAAAGGCTTAAGTTGAGTTACTTACTATTAACTTAAAATAACTGTTTTTTAAACTTCTAAGCTAATATGTTATTTTCCTGGCATTCAAGATTTGGTGAATTTCTAGTTTATTTTTTTTGCTCAAGCAAATGTCAATAAACTGCACTGCTGTCTGTAAGATATTAATAAATGTAACTAAAGAAGTATACAAAAAAAATTTCAGATTATTTTGAAGACTAAATTTGAAGAAATTTTTGGTCCGAATTGTCATGTTTAAAAAGAATCAGTTATATATATATATATATATATATATATACATCACAGCGGGAGGAGAGGAAACGAACATGTAAACAAACGAAATGAAGCGTTGAAAAATGAAGAAAAAATTGCAAGAACTCAAATTTGATTCAGATTAAAGCTGATTAAACAAGTCTGAAATTTGATGTTTTTAATGATGTCAATTTTTTTTTGTCTGTTGATGCATTTATATTATTTTAATGATAGAAAATTATTATCATAAATAAGATAATTTCTTATTGAAAACTCAAACAATAAGAATAATGACACGTCCACTTAAGATAGTTAAAAATATTAATACATATTATTGCAAGAATATTTACGACGGTGTGTCAAAAAACAATAATGTAAAAATTATTTTTTTTAAAAAAAATGAGGATTATTTCGTAGGGATAATAATTTTAAAATTTTTACAAAACAGATAAAAATCGTTTAAACTACACTGTAATATATATCCTAATCAAATTAATATCCCAATCAGTATATCCTAATCAAATTACGGTTAAAAGTACTGATACTCTAAGTGCGGCATTCGTAAAAGCCATTTTACAATAAAATAAATTTTCACCGTAGAATTTTACACCGCAGTATTTACAGTATTTTTTTATTTAATTACAGTGATACAGTAACTTTTCAGTAAATATTATATTATTCAATATATTCATCATATATACTTCAATATTTACGAATACTATATTTTCAATTAAATTAAGTTAGGTAATACATAGGAGATATAATACTTCTGAGATATAGAAAAACTATCAACCAAGTACTAAATAAAAAACATCACGTGCCATAAGTATTCATATGTATTTTTTAAAATCGTATTCAGTGATTGAAATTAATTCAAACTAATTTGTTTTTCGAAAGATAAATGCGATTTAAACTTACTTCTTAATTTGATGAACACTGGGTTACATTGAGATCATAGTCGTAATGTAATTTGTTAAGTCGTAAACTTTCAAAAGAATCCAAAAATTCCAGTCAGTTTGTTTAAGAAGAAAGAAATATAAAGAAGTGAAAGCATTTAATGTTTTTCATTTGACAGGCGATAATTCTTGTCAGGAGACAACAGCCATCACTTATCTTCAGCAATAGATAAAACTTAATCACAACTCTGAAAATAATGAAATAAAATTTGCTTTTCTGTTATGATCTTCATAGAAAATTAATGCATAATCTCTTTTAAACCTTTTTTGCTGGCGTTGCATAAACTCAATAGACGTTTTATCAATCACTAAGGTTATGAAATTACCAGTTAGTCAGTTATACAGTCAGTTATACAAATCATTTTAATTCTAGTGTCTGCCGAATTCAGTAATATGTTTAAAAAATAAATTTAGCTTTTCTCATTTTTCAGTCCTAAACTGTCATGAAATGTTAATTAATTAGCAGGAAAATATAATATTCATTTTGAAAATTCTTATTTAAAATGAGAGAAAGCAAAAAGAATGTTCATTTGATGTCGTAAAGAAATTCTTAAGTTAGGAAAAAACGAAAACGTTATTGAAATTTGCCAAATTACATTTAAAAACATTTTGCTCGATTTCAGGTTGAAATACGAGGGTGTTTCTATGAACGTCATTCATCTTTTTTTGTCGTCTCCCGCAATCAAACAGGTCTAGGTGTTTTATTCAGCTGCCACCTTCACCTGCGATTTATCATATTTCGATGTATTTTCTTGTTTTTATTTGTTTAATTACGTAAACACTTTAATCTTCTCCTTTGATGAGGATTAAAAAATATTATGGGTGGGTTTTTATGGAATACACTGTAAATAAAAATAAGAGAAAAATTCGTTAAGAATTTCGAGAACTCTCCCAAATGTAAAAAAGGTGCAAATTTAATTTTAACATCTCAACGATTAAATTGTCAAAGTATCTGCAGAACAATTATTTTTTTTCTAAATAAAATTAACATTAACGCCTTCTCTGCTCCAGGACGAGAACACTTTAATTACGTTCAATTAATTTTTAAGACTCAGTAATGTGGCTCAGATATTTTAAAAATTCACCAATTTTTAAACATTTTAAGTCGTAAGTTTCTGCAATATTTTTCTCAAAAAAAAATTTTTTTCAGCATTACGATTTTTGCAGCAAATCTGCTCGTTCATTTGCTTATTACAACATTTTATATGGTTCCCTTTATGTAAAATTGAAAAGAAAAAAAAATTTAAAAACATCGAATTCCCAGATGTAAGTAGCATGCTGTGAAAATTTCAATAATTTTCAAAATGCTTATTCAATGCACAATTTAATTTTAGGTTGATTGTGAAAAAATTCCTATAAGTTCTATCATCTTACGAGTTATTTGAATCCTTAGAGATTCAAATAGCATGTTATTTGAATCTTTAGGATTCATGTTACTTGAATCCTTAGGGATTCAAATAACATCTAAACATGAAAAAATTATGCACATGAAGCAGTTTTGCTTACGCTGTAAAAACCTCTGCTTTTTTTTCCAAAAAATGCTCGAAACTTATCAAATAAGGCAGGTAGAGAAATGAAATTTTTTTTCGTGTGTTTGGAATTACTTCAAAATTTAATGTATGACTACTGGAAACTAACTTGTTTGAAGATTAATTTCAATGTAATAGGCAATTATTCGTGACTTCATAAGACATAATATAGCAATTCATCTGTGTAAAAACGAATCTTTGTTTATGGAGTATAAACAACAGTGACATTAAAACTAATATCAAATTCTTTACCGAAACAATAGAAATGATTAACAATAACTGAAATTTCTATTTTTTATCAACAGTGAATGCGCATGAATTTTTCTTCATTCAAGTAAATTATTTATTAAATTTAAAACAGATAATAGTATACCATCATTAAGAATTAATAAGCTTCAAGTACCAATCAACATTGTTATTGAAATAAAACTAAACTAGTTTTATTTCAATTCAATTTTACTAGTTTTTTAAATAATGAAAGTTTCGGTTATTTAATGACATCTGAAATTTATTTTCTGGGTTAGTTTTATAATTGATTCGAATTCATAAATATTTCCCCAAAACAAATGATGTTTGTTTCATTTCCTGACCAAAAGTCTTACAAAAGTATGAATGTTTTACTTGTTTTATATTATGATATCCGTTAACAAACAATAAACACTACCCAAAACATTACGATTCTTAAATATGACTTTTTGATTGTGTAATTAAGAAACTTATTATAAAGTCAGCAAAAACGAATATTTAGAAATGAAAAATAAATAACACTATTGGCTGCTACTTTATAAGCGTAACGTTTAATCGAATTTATCTATTTTTTTATAAATTCATTTTGGGGGAATTAAAACGTAACGTAATGTAAACTGAAATTTTAATCTCATTTGTATGATCACTTTTACAATTCTGTATTGTACATATATATGGCATGTTTAAAATGTATATAATAATAAATATTAAGAATAGCATAACTAACGAAGCTGTTGTTTAATGTTCAGGGAATGAACGTACCCTGATTTGGACTAAACAAATGCTTCTTAAAAATTTTAAATATTTATTTCTTCTAATCTGTGGGAATTTTAGAAAAGATGTGGCGTGCACTTTATTATTTGAAACAAGTTTCACAGTAATTATAAAATTGCAAAAAAAAATATTAAAAAAATTCGCCATTAATCTTTTATTATGTTAACTATATTAAAGCGTATATTAAAGCTTTTAATGTAACATGGCTTGGACTTAACGAATGCTTCTTCAAAATTTGGGGTATTTATTTTTTCCTATCTATATATATTTTTGAAACATTTGACACCTACTTTGTAATCTGAAATAAATTTTAAATGAATTCCTCGTTTCCAAAAGTTATAAAAACTTCGCAAAGTGCTCTCCAATATGTTAACTATAAATATACACTAAACGTAGTATTGTTTGGAGTAAACTAATTCTTAAAAATTTTGAGTTCTAATTTTTGACAAATTTGGGTATTTTTGAAAGAATTGACGTTCATTTTGAAATCTGATAAAGTTTCAAATGATTTTCCTTTAGAAAATTTCTTTGTTACAAATTTTCAAATTGAACTCCATTATGTTAACTATACAAATATGCTCTTTACATAGCTAAGGCTAACAAATGATTCTTAAAGAATTTAAGTATTTTTTTCTTCACAAATATGGATTTTTTTTTAAATTTACACTTTTTTTTTAAATCTGAAACAAGTTTCAAATTAATTTCCGATTGCAAACAAATTTTAAAAATTCACAAAGTGTTCTCCATTATGTTAACCATATATATGCTCTTAAAGTGGCATGGTTTAAACTAAACAAATGCTTCTTAAAAATTTCGGGTTCTTATTTCCTCACATTTATGGTTAGTTTTTAAACGTTAGACCGGAAAACCACAAACAGGAATTTTCCCAGAAACATTTCTTCCTCGGGAAATTTCTTGTTGTTTTTGCCTTGTTATTAAATGAAATGAATGAATATGCAAATTAGAGTAACACTTGGATTGAAACGCTGTTGGTCGAGAGTAGTAATTTGAGTCGCTGTACAAGCATGCCCAAAGAGCGTTTTCATCAATTAATAGCGTAGGCAAATGGAAGTGTGCAAGGAACTCAATCGGTATCGCGTACAACTTGAAAACAATACAAATGAAATACAGTCTTATATCAACAAATACATTGGAATTCTTAGAACAAAATGGATTCCCAAAATATTTAGCAAAGAATTATTCCAAATCAATTAATAAAAACTAATAAAATTGGCAATCAAACCCAACAGAATGAGAAGAAATAACAGCACTATTATGAATGAAGCAACGACAATAAACAAAACATGAAGAGGGCATAGTTCTAGGGTGCGATGCCGAGTCTTCCAAAGGCCTAATGCTTCCTACAGAGTGATGAGGAATAAGTAAGTAAATTCCATATACCTTCTTAAAGTTCCTTGATTTTTTAAATCCCGTATGTTTCTCAGTATAAGAGGGTAAAAATATTAATTTGTTGCTGTAATTAATATTCGAGTCATAAAAAATTTAATTTTTGTTTTTCTCTACATATATTTGGCTTAATAACCTGGCTTTATAATTACATATGCCTGACCGTCTTGATCATCTTGGTTTGAGACTGTAATACTAACAGCAGTTTCATATCTCCAATAGAGTTGCATAAATTCCCAAGTCTGGAGGACAAATCCAATCACGCAAACGATGAAAAAGAAAGTGCGCAATACTTTCATTTGAAGGCTGTTCGCAGACACTATCTTCGGAATGCCAGTGATCATTGAATCTTGGAGTAGTTTTGTTAAAAAGTTCTTAAACGACGTTTTGTCTTTTCTGCTCTGCTTTTTAAAAAAGGAGTAGAACCTAAATTGAAATTACGCAAAAGATAAATTAATAATGAAAAAATTTACAGTGAGATATATCAATCAGGAAATTTTTACACAGTCTTTAATATTTCTTATATCAGTGAAGTATAAATAGCTTAAATATCAGTGTCACCGAAAAGGAAATAGTTCTAATATTCTTTTTAAATAAAGCGTTAAGTATACACAGTTATTTCAATTGTGTAAATATCACACTTAATCATTGATTAAATTTAATAATTGATTTCGTTGACAAGCAAATAGAAATAATAGAGCAAGAATTATAGTTAATTATAAAACTATATAGTTAATTACCCTACTTTCAACTATAGTGTATATTGATACGCAAAAATTTCGGTTTCCTGGCATTTTCTGTGCCAGATACTTCACAATATTTAAGGGACTTTCTATTAGCTCTAGAACGATCGACATTTGTTATTTTCCTTGAACGACCGTTGCGGTCATTTTGACCGTAATTAGGAAAAGCTAATGTATGTTAGATTTTATGTTAAAATTTTAATATAAAAAGTTGAAATAAGGCAATTTTTACAATTTCAACTTTCTACAGTATTTTCAATACTGCTTATTTATTACTGAAAAAAAAACTTTTTTTCGGGTAAATATTAATATTATAAAACAGTTATATATCATTGCACATGATTTGAAATAAAAATTGGTAAATTTTGACTCTTCCTACAAATGAGTTTTAGACTTGACGAACAGTATTGTTTTATG